CTTTTGAGCCTTTTGATAAAAAAATAAATAAATAAATACTTGGATAGTGTGGATGGCATGTGATGGCCTCAGACACCAGACACACATAAAGGCATTTGCAGAAATGTGCAGATAGTGACCCAGTTTTTCCTCTTTGTAACCATTAATTCACACGAGTGCAAGAATGAATGATGACACTGCTCTAACAACATGCACCAGAGAAATGTGGCGAGGACTAGCATTTAATTAGCAATGAAGGCAGGGGTGGGAAAAATAACAGCAGATGGGAGGAACGAGACTATTTTAGTCATTTATTGTGATTTATTCTGCCATGTAAAGTACTTTGGTCAGCTGGATGTTGTTTTTAAAGTGCTATATAAATAAATTTGATTTGACTTGATATGAGGAAATGTACTTTCAGGCCTTAGACAAATGTCTTTGGCTTTTTGCAGATGACAAAAAAGAATCATGGTTGTTCAAAGATGACAGTAGAAATGAAAGGACTCATAATTACACTTGGAGTCAACACTATAAAGGCCTGAGACTGAAACACTTATTTCAAGCTGGAAAATGAACAGTAGTTTTGCTTGTGTGTCACACCAAATACATGATCTCATCTGAGCCTGGATCAGTCTGAGAAGATAAATGAGTCCCACTAAGCTTTTATACCTGGTCCTTATCCATTCTTATTTAATATTCCTCTAAGACTCAAATTTTATCTCACAGACATAATCTCTGCCTTAATCTTTTCTGGGTCCTGGTATTATCTATTAGCTGGTTTAAACAGATGTTTATTCCTCTATCCTTTTAGAAAACTCCTGTCACAACTCTGTAAATGCCTGTGGTCCTCCTTCCTGTCACAACTGTCAGAAGCAATATGATCTAGATTAAGGCAGAGCAGTATTGACAAACAACAGGACAAACGCTGTGTGGGCAAACAGCTGGACAAATACAACACGCTAAATGTCAGTTTTAATTAGATGGCCATCAGTTAAATATTGCCTGTTGAAACTAAACAAACAGCTTGACTCCCGGTGGCAAGATGTGAAACTCATGTGTGCCTGAATGTAATAAATTCAGCCATCTCTGATTTCAAGAGCTGCTGAGGGAGGACAAATGAGAACTGAAGGGCAGTTTGCTTCTTATTTGTTTGTTTAGCTCATTAGAGGCATACTACCCATGTCACATCTAGTTCACCTTGCCACAAGCATTACGCCATAGTTTATTAGATTTTAGGAAATACAAAAGGAGCAGCATTAGTGTAGTTTGAGCAACAGCATTTGTCTACACTACCACTTAAATGGGGGCAAAAGAGCTTCTCTACCTCTGCAGTTTTCCCCCCTAGATAGCAATGCAGATCTCTGGATGACCATATGAGTTTATTAACCAGTCCACCACTTTGGTCCAGACAACCATTGGATGTATTAAAATAAAATTTGGCTCGTTTGCTGCCACAATTAGCTAATGTTGACATGCTAACACACTAAACTAAAACTAACATGAATACATTGGCCAGTTCATTAGCATGGCTCCAGATTCCTCACATTGTTGGCCTCTTTGTTTTGATCAACTGTGCCCAGATGAATGAGAAGCAGTAGCAAACAAAACTGGATCCACCACCTTGTAGTGGTGTTAATGAACAGACATGAACTCAGATTACAGGAGCTGTAACTGGAGATCTCATAGGTTGCCACTCAACATTTGCAGGCAATTTGGGCATATGAACACACCTGAAATACAATGCATAAACACAAGCCAGGCATCTTTTTTTGTATGTGGAAACAGCATCTGACAATACAGTTTCACTTAAGTTGTGCTTACTTCCCTGGTTAATGGAGCGTTTAACTGTATTGCATGATTTTGGAAGACAAAATTCCATTTTTCATCAGAATCAGCTTTATTGGCTAAGTAAAAAAATATAATCAAATAAGAATATAAATATAAATACATAGAGAGAATGAAACAATCTATTTATAAATATATATTATTACAGTATATATTCACATTGTGGCAAAGAAGCTTTCATATTAATATATACAATAGTTATATTTACTCTTATTGTACTAGGGTGATTGCTGTGTCCTGTCCTTCAAGAATGAATTAGCTATTTATCAGTGTGATGGCCTAGGAGAAGAAACTATCCTTGTGTCTGGTTGTTTTGGTGCACATGACCTGTAGCACCATTCAGATGGGATGGGTTCAAGCAGTTTGTGTCTAGGGTGTGAGGGGTCTGCAGAAATCTTCTCTGCCCTCCCTCTGACCTGTGAGATATACAGGTCCTCCACAGAGGGAAGGCTGGCACCAGTGATTCTTTCTGCAGTTCTAACTGTCAGCTGGAGTCTGTTCCTGTCCTGTTTGGTGGAGCATACTTCCCTAGGGGGCTGTCCCTGTGCTGACAATCCTGATGCTAGATGTGGTTTTCCCCAGCCTCAACCTCACCTTATTGATATTTCAGTTTTGCTGGGAAACAGCATTTGCAAATTATGTCTGAAAATATTAACAGCAATAGGCCTTCAAGCACCAATCAAACATAAACTAAGTCTGGATGTCCCTCAAGTTCTAGAGGAGAAAGGATAACAGGAGGAAAAGGAAGAAGCACCCTCTGGGTTTGGCACACTGACTTATTGGAGAAGGATAGGTACAAACCAAATTACAGCCACACTGAGTGGTAGTGGCAGAGATTAGTGGGCATTTGAAAGGGGAGAAGGGAGAGGGTTTAGCAGGATGAGAGAGGAGAGGGGAGAGAGGATTATGGAAGCCAGAGCTTGGGATCCTGAAATAATCCTCTCAGTATATTGGGCTTTATGCACTGTGGGGCAGATGACAGTTTGAGCTATTAAATTGTCATATCATTCATGCAGCTCACTTCGAACGTGCGGAAAACACTTCTAACTGTGTGATTATTTTCACTCTGGGGTACCTCTGTCATAGAAGTTGAGATACTTGCTTTCCCATTTAGTTTATGTCTATCTATTCAAACACAGAGTATGTGCAGACACACACTCATAGAAGGACAGGCATGTTCATTTCATCTGCCTTAATCTGGAAAGAGCTACATGCTTCTATGTGAAGCTCTAAGCGCCTTCTTCTTTCCATGCTCCATGTTCTAATTTGGGTATTGCCATGGTTATATAAGATTCAAGGTCAGGAGGTCAGTGACGTCACAAGGAAACACCAGATTGATGTGTGGTTGCTTCATGGCGACAGAGGGGCACGCTGAGGAGCATACCACAACCCAAGAGGAAATGCATTCAAGAAAAGCAATCCATTCGTGCTTGGCATTTATGTTCAAATGTCTTACTCTTTTTGAGTTTTGAGCAGTTGTGTAAGTGAGAGAGGCACAACCCATAAAAATGTATAGATAAAAGACCACGTGTGCACAAGCAAAAATAAAGAGATGTGTGAATATAAAGCAGGACTGTATGTAAAGTATAAGCTTTGATTTATAAATGATTCAGGACAAAGACAGCCACAGTGGAAAGACAGAGGGCGAGTCAGTACGCATGCAAACCAGGAAGATGAGGGAGGGAGGGGTATGAACACTATGTGTTGCTCCACTAACCTACTTACCATAATCTCTCTCTTCTCTTCATTTCATAACTGTGCCTAAGTTACTTGATACATTCGTCATCTGACACAGGCTTGCAAATCAAATATTTTCATTGGCACTGTTATTAATGGTTTGTCTGTGCCACAGTCAGCAGGTGTGTCCGTACATAAACACATACCCATTTTTCAAAAGGAAACAATGATGTAAAGATGTACCCAATAAACTGTAATAAAAGATGGATAGATAGACATGTATACATACACATCCATTTCACTGTTTTAATGTGAAACATTTTGTATCAAGAAACACTGTGGTTAATTAAGCATTATATTTCATTTATGTTAATGTTGGCGCTGCAAATGGCTGCCTTGGTTCTGTACCGGAAACAAATTCCTTGTGTGTAACATACTTGTCATCATTATCATTAATACACTTTTACGTTTAAGGCTTTCCCCTCACTGATTAAAACTCCCTGGCTTTAAATATTTCAAGGGGAACAAACAGTGCAGCAACCTGTGGTGGCATTTAAATCCTCTACCAAGCTTAGTATTTGTTAATAAGTAAGATAATAAGTAATAATGTTGTAAGAACACAGCATTACATGGCTGGGAAACTTGTGACACAATAGCCTGTCTTTTAACAGATATGATTGATTCACAACAAATAGCAAAGAGCTTTTATTATATCTGTAACAGGCTGTAACTTTGGACCATTGACATGGGTGTTTTTATCTTGGTGTTTTACTACATTAATGAAAACAAAAAAATCGAAATGCACTTTCATATGGTCCTGAGAGAACACATCACCAGCAATGTGTATTGTATTCATGCAGCTCCAATACAAGTGCTGTGAAACACACAGATTTTACACACAGGATAACTGAAGTCTAAGCCCATTTCCATTATCCCTACCATTTTATAAAGTCATTGGCTATCATGTGGCTCTTTGTTTAAATATATGTTTCCTCTACCTTAAATGTTAATATTGGTTGACATACATTTTTGTAGGCCTTTGTAACAAACGTCTGCTTTCAGATACTGTAACTTTTGCCTTTACATGTCTAGATGTTTAGATGTGTTCAACTTGCATTGGACTATTATAACCGAACTTCATGAAACCATAAATAACAGAATAAAAGATAACTTGATTTATTAAGATGTAACTCTACTGATTATGGTGTGATAATCAGAAACACCAGTATGATCCTCCAATCTCATAATATATAACTATTATTTCAGGTGTTCCCATAAGGAACTCTTCCTTGTAATATTTTTCTGTGACCTATAAAGAAGCACTGTTTTCTAAGGGGGCAGTGGGGGAGAAAAGCAACACATTGCTGCTGGATATTATATGTTACATATTCCTGCGCTGTCGGTCTGGACTGACACACTGCCACACTTTCCCACGCACGCGAGAGCCTCCTTAAAGCGCACGGAGGGTGGCGCGCGTCACGGGGAACGAGGCGGGCGTACAGCAGTGTGAGGATCATGTGTAGTCCACGCGGCGAAACTAGGTTACAGCGAGCCGCGGAGCAGGAAGGAGCTCGGGGCAGCGGAGAAGCCGCTGTGTTGCTGTATAGGTGATTTGTCACAACCATATCTCTGAGAGTGCACGGAGGTGACCAAAGTTACTAAGATTCGTAAAGTCGGAGCGGATGAAGAAATTGTAGAAAACCCATATGAGGATTTGTTGTTGTGACAGTTTTCAGCTGGTCCGATTTGGAGCGAACAAGTTCGCGTCGCTGTCGGTGTTTCTTGGCTTCATTTCCACCTGGAGGAGGTGGCTGACTTCAACGCCAACATGAGAGGTGAGTTTGTGGAAATTACTAGATTTGTTCAAATGTGTTTATGTCAACTGGGCACGCCTTGTGTTTGTTAGTAATAACTTTTCATTTGCATATAGCATACAGTACTATGCACTGTTTTATGTCCAAAGTGCGTAACAGTCTGCAGGCGCGCACCGGATTAATCTTAAGTACACACCACGGAGCAAAATAAAAATATGTTTGTAGGTTGCATGTAAAAGTAAATGTAAAAGACGTCGCTAACTGAACGTTGTTTACACTGCGCCAAGCACCTAAAGCTCTTGATAGAATAGCTAAAGGTGGATTCATTTGTTTATACACTGATACATTTCTATACGCATGGTCTTAAGCATGAGTATGTTCAGGTTATCTGTATAAACTGTGAGGGTTTGTGCACTTAGTTATTTTCGTCTGTGTTGTGCCTGTGGCTGCTTTTGTGAGAGGCTCTAGTTATGTAAGAGAAAGGGGAGGGAGGGAGGGAGGGAGGGAGCGGGGGGATTTCACAGGAGAGTGTCTGGTGATGTAAGAGAAAGGGGAGGGAGGGAGGGAGGGAGGGAGGTAGCGGGGGGATTTCACAGGCTGTAAACCCATCCATCCATTATCTACACCGCTTATCCTTCCGAGGGTCGCAATGAGGCTGGAGCCAATCTCAGCTGACATTGGGCGAGAGGCGGGGTACCTGGTCGGGTCACCCGTCTATCACAGGGCTGACACTTGGAGACAGACAACCACTTACACCCACACTCACTCACTCCTAGGGATTATTTAGAGTCGCCAATCAACCTAAGCTGCATGTCTTGTGTGTGTGTGAGGGGAAGCCCGAGAACCCAGAGAACCCACGCAGGCACTCGAACCTACCTTCTTGACAGCTCTAATCACTACACCACCATGCTTCCCGGCTGTAAACCGGCACAAAGATTTGCTGGATCTTTTCTCTTTTCACATTTAGTGTATTTTATCACACTTTTGTATCACTTTTGCATGGTGTAAACAATTTTACTGTTAACATTTTAGAATTATTATTTAATGCACATGATGCTTTAATGTGCCCGGAGGCACTGATGGTTTGTTTTACTGTACTATTACTTTTGATTCATCTGCAAGCATGTTTTTTTTGTTTGTTTGTTTTGCCAGCATCAGTAGTATGGCGGCCAGCCTGTGTACTAGTTTATACAAAACTGCTCACTAGTTGACATGCAAGCAAGTATTTCTACTAGTATATGACAGTTGCAGCACTTGACAGTTTAACTAGTCATATGCACATGTCAGCTAGTGAGCAGTTTTGTCTAACTAGTAAAATGCAAACATTAACTACTGCGACAAAAAGGCCTACATGTTAAACAGATATTTCACTAGTTGTGCACAGTCGCTCGCTTGTGCTGTTTGATACTCAGCTAGTTAAGGGAAAGGCCTAACATGTAAGGAAAATGTCCAGCATGTTTGGTCAAAGCCTTAACATGGAAGCCTCAATGCATGTGTCTTGCCAACTTCCTCATTAGCATTTTGTGCAACTAGTTAACTAGAGAGAATTTTGGCTTTTATTAAATCAACTAGTAAAACTTTATAAAACTTTATACCCTATTAGTTAAGTCAAAAAAATGTCTCTCACTATTATAACTAGTGGATATTTTGGACCTCACTAGTTAACTAGTACAGAAAATTGTTGGCCACTAATTAACTAGTGACCTGAATCTATCAGAATCAGAATCAGATTTATTGCCTAGGTATGTTGGACACATGACGAATTTGACTTTGGTACAGTGGCTCTCATTGTGTATTACATGTCTTTCTGTAGAGCAGTGAATAGACAAACAATATAAGGCTGAGAGAACAGAAAGGAAAGAAAAAGAATGTACAAACAAAAAAAGGAATGCACAATAGGAAAAATAAAAATAAAGTACTTATTAACAGAGAACTATATATACCCACAGTTTAGATGCATTTCCCAGATTGATATATACAAAGGTATATTTACAGGTATTGCACTGAGGGTTATTGTCCAGTCATACTGTCATGGGTCAAGTGTTCATCAGAGTGATGGCACGGGGGAAGAAACTGTCCCTGTGCCTGGTTGTCTTGGGGCACAGTGACCTGTAGTGCTGTCCAGAGTGGAGGAGTTCAAACAGTGTGTGTCCAGGGTGTGAGGGGTCTGCAGAAATCTTCTCTGCCCTCCATCTGACCTGTGAGGTGTACCGGTCCTCCACACAGGGCAGGCTGGCACCAGTTATTTTTTCTGCAGTCCTGACTGACTGCTAGAGTCTGTTCCTGTCCTGTTTGGTTGCTGAGCCAAACCAGACAGCGATGGAAGAGCAGAGGACAGACTTGATGATTTCTCTGTAGAACTGTATCAGCAGCTCCTGGGGCAGGATGAACTTCCTGAGCTGATGCAGGAAGTACATCCTCTGCTGTACCTTATGGGTGACAGTGCTGGACATCCACTTCAGGTCCTGGGACATAGTGGAGCCCAGGAACTTGAAGGACTCTGCTCAGTTGTTGTGGTATGTGTTGCCACAATCCTACATCATACCTATGGCATAGCTTCAATGCAGAACCATAAATCAAGGTTTATAGAGGAGGTGGGGTGAACACCTCTCAGCAAAAATACTACCTCTTGTTGTGGCATTTTAGAAGGTCAGCTTCAACCTCCCATTCTGAGACTGTACCTCTTACACAGAATGGTGAGGCAGAAAACTCACAAAAAATTCCCGTATTGAATGGGCAGTGTAAAAGGGGCTCCAGTTTTGTGTGTGTGCATCTGTGGGTGTGAGTGTATGTGCACATGGGGGTGGATGGGCCTGATCTGTTGTGGTTACTGATGAGACACTGTTGATAGTTAAATCGTAGTCAGGGGAAGACGCCTCTCTCTAAGAAAAAGCAGATTTGAACTGGCATGCATCTTGCAAGGTGCAAGGCTTTTACTCATAAAAACATTAATGACAAGGATAATCACCATTATTTGGCCAAGTATGTTACACACAAGGAATTTGTTTCCAGTATAGAACTGAGGCAGCCATTTGCAGCGCCAATTCACACCAGTGGCTCTAACCATTGTGGGCAACCCTGGGGTTCAGTGTCTTACCCAATGACACTTCGACATGTGGACTGCAGGCACCAAGATTCAAACCACTGACCCTACGGTTGGGAGATGACTGCTCTACCCACTGAACCACAGTCACCTTATTGTTTATCTCTACTTCTCTGACAAAAATTATATTCAAATATCTGTTGTATATTTTTTTGTTTACTTACATTATTTAGTTGTGAAAGGCATGCATTGCTGTGCCAAGTAGGATATGGGCAGGCCCACATTTAACCATGAAGCATAGCAGGATTCAGGTAAGCTTAGTTTCCTCTGTCAGTTTAGGTCACTTACTGTACATCCACCTGATTGTATGTGACTCCAGTCAAGCACAGCTTATCAGACTGGTTTGGTAAAAATATGACATGTTTTACAGTGTTTGTATATGAGAAAAAAACAATACATAATGATTAATACAAAGGTGCAACCGCACAGCAACAGAACACACTCAGAACAACCCAGAGTCTGATCCCCCCTCAAGCAGAGCCAAAGGTCGGTATGGTGTGAGCCTGTCTCTCTGGAGCACCACCACCCTGTTCTTCTTTAGCCTATGCACCACAGCCTGTCAGTCTTTCCACCACAGTGCAGGGTCCAACCCATTGGCTCAGTAGCTTTGGGGACAGTCCCTTCTTCCACTCCGTAGTGTACACCCACAGGGGCAAAGTCCTCCCCCTTGCAGTGGACATCATAGATCCTGGTTGATGTGCAGCTCCTCAGGCACAGCAAATTGGCAGAACATTTGTCTAGGCACTCTACAGTCATGGTCAAGGAGGTCATTCAAGTAGATCACAAAGTGGCTCCAGGGAATATCAGCCAGGATCTGCTCCATAAGGTGTTCAGAGGTGGCTGGGGCATTGCAGAGGCCGAAGGGCATCACTTTGAACTGCCACAGCCCCTGGCCAGTGGAGAAGGCAGTCTTGGGCCATGTATCTGGTGTTGACTCCACCTGCTATTAGCCACTGCGCAGATCAAGGGAGCTACACCAGTGGGACCCAGCAATGTTTGCCAGGGTGTCATTGATGCCAAGCAGTGGGTAAGAATCTTTGTCAGTGACCTTGTTAAATGTGCAGTAGTCGAGATGTCTCCAGGTACCGTCTTTCTTCTGGACCATAACAGCAGGTGCTGCCCAGGGGCTGCTGGATGGCATGATGAGGCCCGCTCTCCCATTTTCTCTAATCTTGTGAGTGGTAGGCGCTGCAGGGTTATGTATTGCCGGTTACAGTGTAGTGCTTTACCAGGCTAGTGTGCATAGAATCCTCATCTCTGGCCGTGAAGATGTCCACAAATGCCTCCAGCAACTCCCTCAGCTGTCCTCTCTGGTCGGTCTCCAAGCTCTCGCAGCTCCTCTTGAACAGGTCATCGATAGCTTGTCTGGTCTCACCTCCCGGGCTGGTGGCGATGTGGCTGGCCCCTCTGCTTGGCAATGGCGACCCCCTTGGCTGGCCTTCAGCTGGTGGCAATGACTCCTTGGCTGGCAGCAATGTGGACCCCTCAGCTGGCGGCTGGTCCCTTGCAGCCCTTCCTTGCTGGTTGAGTGTAGTGCCACGGTTTGAGCACCCAGGTGGAGCATGGACCTGGGCACTACAGCCTCCCAACTAGTCAGCAGGTCGAGGCTGATGGTGCATAGGTTCTGGATGTTAGTCAACCAGAACTGATGTGCCACAGTATGGCCAGCAACAAGAGTCCTCGTGCTCTCACTGGTCACCATGGTGATGCGGAGCTGAGTGGCTCTCCAGCCATGCAGTCTTAATCGTCCCTGGCAGCATCCCCAGCTGAACCAGGGAGATGGTGGAACCCGTGTCCACCAGGGCCTGGCACCAGGTGCTGTTCAGTTCACTGTCCAAGTATAGTCCCTGCGTCCAGCCCAGGCGGCCAAGTTTCACTGATTAGTGTGTCAGGCAATCTGTGCATGTGCATCTAACAA